CCTCCACGAGGCTCCGCGCCACCTCGGCCACTACACCGCAGTGTGTCGCGGACGTGGGCAAAAACCTTATGGGCCGAGCCCATCCTGTCGGCCCGTGGCACAGTGGGCCAGAAGACCGGTGCAGGCGGACAAAACTCTACAGGCGTTTTGAGCTCCAGAGTCGCTAAATGGGACTCGAACCGAACGTTTAACCCCGCCAATGGATTCCTCGTTCGCAGAGCGATCCATTGGTGGGGTCACACGTTCGGTTTGAGCCCCATTTAGCGACTCTGGAGCTCAAAATGCGTCGTGAGTTTTGGGCGCCTCCAACGGCCTTCCGGCCCACTGAGCGTGGGCCCCACTGGGCCCCACGCGGCAGGCCGCTCCCTTCCACGACACCGCGGCCACAGAGAAGGGGGTGGCGAACAGACCGTGTGTCCTTCCAGTCTGAACCTCAACAACATCGCAGAACAGAAACCAAGTCAAAACGTGAAAAAATTATAAGATATAAAGTCTATTTGAATTTGTTTCTTGAAAAATTCTCGTTCGTTGCGCATAGTGTACGAAAAAACTTTTTTCGGTGGTTTCCTGTCGTGCTGTACACTGCTTCAAGGGCAACCGATAGCAGGATCTCGGTGACATCACCCGCGGCGGCGGCGCGCTGTGATTGGCTGAGATTCGCGGCCCGGTTATCCAACCGCCGGCCGCGGCGAGCCCCCTGCGGGGCGGGCAACCCCAGCGCAGCGCTGCCGAGACCCGCACCGCGGTGCCTACCGCGCAGGGGCTCGACTGCCTTGGAGGTCGAGCCATCCATTGGTGGGGTCACACGCTCGGTTCGAGTCCCGTTCAGCGACTCTGGAGCTCAAAACGCGTCCGGGATTTTGGCCGCCTCCACCGGTCTTCTGGCCCACTGTGCGGCGTCGGCCTGGCCCGGAGCCCCGCGACTCAAGTGACCCTGCCCGGGCACGGCCCTGCACAGCCCTGGCTGCCGGGGGTGCATTACAGTGACGCTGCGGGCGGCACGGCAGTGCGGAGCAGTGCGGGCGCCTTGAGCCTCATCGAGTACCACATCCGCCGCCGGGGCTTCCCGTCACCCTGAGCCCGACAAAAACGAAAACAAAAATCTCGCCGCTGAAACCGAGCCGGGTATCGAACCCCCGCCGCCGCGAATTCCAGAAGGCGATAGGCCGAGCGGTGTTTTCAAGTGCAGGGAGTGATTACGGACGTATCTAATCTTGGCAGGGCGCGACGTCAGGAGGACCCAACATCGGAAGAGCGACCGGCAGAACGGCCGCCAAATCACGTCATTTTCAACGAGCTGCATCCCGACAGCCCAACGAGTGGGGAAAAGAAACTGGAACCTAACTGGTGAAAAAGGAACCAAGACCCAAGACCGCCTGCTTGGCCGTGAACTTGGGCTGTTGACTGCACTGTAGCGGAACTGCCGCGCGGCACGGGCCGATTAGCTCAACGAAAAGGCAAACGGAAATGCAGCAGTGACGTGTCCGTTGAAGTTTGCGTGACTGTACGCCAAACCCGTCGTGTGCTGCAGTTTGCGCGACTGTACGCCAAACCCGTCGTGTGCTGCAGTTAGCGCGACTGCACGCCAAACCCCGCCAAACCCGTTGTGTGCTGCAGTTTGCGCGACTGTGCGCCAAACCTGTCGTGTGCTGCAGTTTGTGCGACTGTGCGCCAAACCCGTCGTGCGCTGCAGTTTGCGCGACTGTATACGCCAAACTCGTAACGAAGGCACAGCCTTCTTGAAATCGATAATCTGCATTTCGTGTACAAGCTGCGGCCCTCGGCCGGCCTTGCCGTAAACAGCCTTAATTTAGATAAAATTGTACGCGCGGTCCTTTGTGTAAACCAAGTGTGTGTGTGTGGTGTGTGTGTGTGTGTGTGAGGGAGAGGCGCAATTAAAATGATTTGCCTATCAGCAGGTGAGAGCGAACGGTGGTGGTGCAGCCGTATGGCGGCGAATGGCGGGAAAACAGGTTTCGGGACTCCTTTGATGAATGGACTCGAGGGCAGTGCGTGCATCACGTACGTGTGTGTGTGTGTGTGTGTGTGCGAACATGTGCATAGGTGGCTTTTCTTCTTACCAGCAGGCTGATCCCGCCTCTCGTGGTTCTTCCTCTTTAGCCCTACCCCGGACACACACACACACACACACACATACACACACACACACACACACACACACACGTACACAGAGGGTCAGCCAGGAGCGCGCAGGCACGCACGAACCCATGCCGTTTTCGAAAGGGCCCCGTTTTGAATGCAGAGGGGCTTGGCGCGGCGCGGCGGCACCACTGCACACCGAGGTCATCTCGCGGCCCATCCGTTTATTGGCCGATTGTGCTAGGCTGCACACACAAGCTTCGCATGAGGCGGGCATAGGTCCCTGGGCTGACCACCGCCGCGGCAGCAGCCTGGGCAGAGCGGTGCGGTTCTCCGTATCTCATGGCACATCGCGCATTTGCACGCATCCACGCATCTGCCGCGGCCGGTCACCACGGGGCCCCCATGCGCGCTATGTGGCTGGGGGCGATTCTATCGCCCTGCGCGCGCGCACACACACACACACACACACACACACGGAGTTTGCGCCCTCGAGGTCGGCCATCCGCGACGTCCCCCGTGCCATACCTGCATCATCTTGGAGAGAGAGAGAGACAGAGAGAGCGAGAGAGACCTAGAGCGACCTACAAACCGCGACGACAACTCACGTCCACAAGCAGCAACACACACACACACACACACACACACACACACACACACACACACACACACACACCTGTGCACGCGATGTGCAACGCGGCCGACACAACAAATTCATAACGCTTTCGTTATTGATTTGGGCGGCAACCCACATGGTGCCTCCCTGGCCACGTGCCACGGCGTGCCACGCACTCGAGATCGCCCTATCAGTTTGACGTCACCTGTTGCTACTTTGAGGCCGAGTAGAACCGCACAGGGTGTATACTGCCAGAAATTACATTGCGACGGTTCAGTGTCCGAGACTGGCGGAGGCTGGCAGGCAAGCAGACAGACAGGCAGACAGACAGACAGACGGACAGACAGAAGGGCGGCAAAAAGTGAGTGGGTGGCCGTCTGTTTGGCCCAGCGAATCTACGGCCCACCCCCGCCACCCCGCCCGGCCGACACACTCAACTTAGGGCAAGTTCACGCCGGCGAGGAGCTTGACGAGCCAAACCAGTCGCGGCACAGTGGATTTGCCAGAAGACCGGTGGAGGCGGCCGAAACTCTAGACGCGCTTTGAGCTCCAGAGTCGCTAAATGGGACTCGCACCGAACGTGTGACCCCACCGATGGATGGCTCCGCGAACGAGGAATCCAATGGTGGGGTCACACGTTCGGTTCGAGTCATGTTGAGCGACTCCGGAGCCCAAAACGCGTCCGGAATTTTGACCGCCTCCACCGGTCTTCTGGCAAATCCACTGAGAGGGCCACCGTCAGCGAGCTGAGCCGCAAAACGGCACGCCACTGACGCTTTTGGCAGAGTAGCCGTCGAGGGAGGAAAGGAGAAAACGAGCGTGTGGGGGTGGGGGAGGGGTGAGGGAGGGGTAGAGGAGGGGGCGGCGGTCCATTGTAGGCCCCAGAGGGTCCTGGAGGAGGCCGCCACCAAGCCCGCTCAGCCCGCTCTACATGCTTCTCAGAGAACAGCTGTCGCTAACCCCCCTCCAGGGTGCCCGTCGGGCCCGGCGTGCCCGGCTACCTGATGCAGCACCGCCCTCCCGGTGCCTCCCGGTCCCTCCCCCACCACCGCCGCCACCTCGCCAGCACCAGCCACCTTCCACACATATAATCCGTCCCGTGCGCCAAAAAAGAGGCAGCAATTTTTGTCTTTTCCCTTTTTCTGGGCCCGGCTTCATTTTGGTTTATTTCGGGCGGTGCGGGCGGTCGGGGCCCTTTGTCTGCCGCGGGGCGGTAGTGACTGTTGCGCAAGCAGCGCGAGCCACCCCTTCGGGCCGCGGACGCGGCGGACGCGGCGGACGCACAGTGGGCCAGAAGACCGGTGGAGGCGGCCCAAAACTCTAGACGCGTTTTGAGCTCCAGAGTCGCTAAGCAGGACTCGAACCAAAAGTGTGACCCCACCAATGGGTTCCTCGTTCTGGGAGCAATCCATTGGTGGGGTCACACGTTCGGTTCGAGTCCCATTTAGCGATTCTGCAGCTCAAAACGCGTCCAGAGTTTTGGCCACCTCTACCAGTCATCTGGCCCACTGTGCTCTGGACGCTCCAAATCCAGACGCAGCGCGCTGAGAGCATGAAGAGCCCCGAGAGGAAGCAGGGCGAAAACAATGACGTCACGTATGTTCGACAGAGCAAGTGACCCAGTTTCAGCGACAAATATTCAAAGAACTTTTTCGTTTCTTTTTCACAGTGTCAACCGGTCGGGGCCCAACCCCCTGCAGCCCGAGCCAAGCCGACGGCTCGCCGGCGGCACGCGTGGCCGGGCGCGGGTCACGCAAATCAGCTGTGGCGACGACGCGCGCCCCCCGAGGGGCCCTGAAACAACAAAAACCTGGAAAAAGGGACATAAATCGCGCGCGTTTCCGCCCCGAAACCGCGCGCCACGCTCAAGCCTAGCCCAGCAGCAAATTTGTCGGGCGTTATCTTTTTTCCGAGAAGTGTAGGCTGCGGCCCTGCGGCCCCAGGCAGGCGGCCGGCGACGGCGCGCCCCGCCAGCCCCGCCAGCCACCAACAAAAACCGGCCGCCCCACCACCCTGCGCCCTGCATGCCCTCAGCGTGCCCTGCACCCTCTCGGGGGGCAGGGCTTGCAGGGCTGCCTCGCCGCTGCAGCCGCCGCGCTCTCCGTCTCTCTCGCACGCGCGGTCCCGCAGCACCGCCGCAGGGGGTGCGAGAGAGACGGAGGCTATGCAGCCTGCGGGAGGCTGCGTGCGCGACGGACACTTCGGACGAGGAGGAGGAGGGTGCACCGGCTCGGCTCGGCTTAGCGACCCTCCTGTAAGAGATGCGCAAGCCGAGCCCGAATCCGGCCTCGCCGTTCGTTTGGTGGTCCCTGCGCCGCGGGGAGCGAAAAAACGACATGTGCGAGGCTAGGGTATGAAAACAGTAGTCGCCCGAATGCAGACGCCGCGTCGTCGAAACGCGCTTTTACAAAGACGTCAAACGAAAGGAAATTTGCTACCGAAGAAGTGCAACTGACGTCAAAATGTAAGAGTCAATATATTATTTACTTCGAAAGGAAACCCTTTCCACAGTAAAAATTTTCTGCAACTCAGCCACAGACTCTGTTTGAGAGAAACTTTGTTGAGTTGAGGTTATTGCTGCACATTGTTTGTACTTTGGCGGAGGTTTTCTTGGCCAATTTGTTTCATTGCTTATTGAAAGAGTGTAGCTATGAGGAGTACCAAACCAAATTCCCTTTTTTGCAGACTGGAATGGGCCAGAAAGCCAGGAAGACCTCACGAAATTCAAAACTGTGGCATCAACAGAACACCAAGGCCTGTCACAATATGACAGCTGTCAAGTGTGATGACAGTTGTGAATTTTTTGAAATCCACAATGGTCTTCATAAAGTTCATGTCAGCAAATGATGATATCAAGAGGCAACAATTGCTTGAAGAAGCACTCATTCATAATGAACTTTACGAGTGCAAATTGTATTGTTGGAAGAGGCTGTTGTCGCTCAATCTTGCACATGTTAATAAGGTGTTCATGGCAGCATGTAAAAATTTTGAAATTGTTACATGTTGTTGCCACCTTGTCGTCCAACTTTTGTACGATCTGGCTGAGATTTTGCAGGGCTATTTGTCAGGCGCTGTTGCTGGTGCATCATGGTTTACATATTTGCATGTCAACAATTTGCGTCAAAGTTTACTTCTGGTTTTAAACAGTCAAACATTTGCGTCAAAGGAAAAGCAAAGGAAAGTGGCTTGTCATGGCAAAGTATTTTAAGCATACATAAGCTTACAAAGAAAATACCTCCTGTTTGTACCTTCACTTCAAGAAAAAGTGTGAGTAGTACAACAAAAGTACAACCAAATCAATAAGAACGTCATGTTTCTTGCCATTTTTAAGTTTTTCAGCCCACCGCAAAAGGTTGAATTCAATAAGCCTCAGTAATCTAAATAACATGTCACTAGCAGGAAACTGCGCTCCAGGAACATAGTCAGTGAGAATTTGGAACAGGCCATTGTGGTGTGGTGACTCCCCAGCATGGCGTAAGGCATCAATGCACCCCTCACACTGAAGCATGCTCCTTTTCCTTAAAGACACAACAACATAGCCACACATCCTGTACATTACATCTTCATAGTGGGGTTTGAAAGCTCCTGCCGGAACGCAGGGATTCCACTTAAAACTGGAGGGGTCGAATTCTTCCTCAAGTGCAACAGATTCATACCGCTCATTCAGAAGATCAATTAAGTCTTCAGCATCATCATGAGCATAGGATGAAGTTGAGATTCTGTCATTGAACTGAGATATTGCTAAGTGTTGAGCCTAGTTTTTAACTCTAAGCCAGATGGAGTTGGTCTAGTGATTCTTACACGACTGACAATGTTCTCTACCACATCAGACGTAAAGTTACCTGTCAGTACAAATTGGTAATTTTTTTCTCTTATCAGGTGATCAGTAATTTCTAAAAGGGATTTGGTACTAAAAATTATATGTGACTGTACTGGTTTCCAGCCCCCAGCAATGTTCACACCCTGGAAAACTGTGACTACTAATTTTAAATGGTCTACAGCTGCATTGTACGCAACTTCATTTTTGAGACCGAAGGCCAGCTGACAACTCCTGGAAGTTGTTAGCTCAAACCAACGGTTCATCAGTTTGATGAACCAGGCAGTCGTTTCAAAAGCTTCGGGTACTAGACCTTTCAGCACAAGATAAGACAAAGCGGCTCCTACTTTATGGTTTATAACTTTGTGGCTTGATTTTACCTTCATTTTGCTGAAATGAGTAGTACTTAGATCTTTAAATGTGAGACCAGGAACCATTTGAAGCGACTCGTCTCTTTGAAATTTCTCCAACCATGCAATGTGTTCAATATTGACCATGGCTGAAGGCAAGTCAAACTGCGAAACAATGGAGGCCGGTAACTCGATAAATCTATTGGAACAGAGGCATTCTTTCAGGGATTTGAAAACATGAACAGGGTCTGCTACACATCTTAATTTAAGGTCAGGGGATATGGGGTTTGGAATGCAATACTTAAGATTATTTTTTTGGGTACCAAACCCAAGTTTTCTCAACAGAGTCCTGTTGCCACAATCACAGACAATGGCAACGACATTGGCACCAATGTCCTTGGCTTTCTGTAAAAGCTCCATGATGACTAACTTCTTCTGGTCCATGTTCACAGATGTTGGGTTGAGATGATAAGCCACAATTTGTTTAAATTTTCTATGGCAGCCTCTTAAGACAAATATCTCCCCTTTCTCTGCATGGAGGTGTTCATGTCCAGGAATTGTTCCCCAACCAATATATTCCCCAGTACTTGGGTCCCAATCAATTCTTTTTTTTGTGGACATTTCGTCAAACACAAGCACAACATCTCGATCCCTCACATCACTCAAGCCAGCGAACCTTTCCTTCAGAGCGTGTAGTACTTCATGCAAAATCCCTGGTTTGAAAATGATGTGCTCAGTTTCCAACTGAAGGAGACGGATGGATGGCAACTTTGTATCTTTGGAGAGTAGATTTCGAACAGTATTGTAACCTGTACTGCCACAGGAAAAGCGAATTTGTAGGCCCTTCCTGATGTCCTCAGTAGTGTACTTCTTCCTTGATGACAGCACTTTTATATTTTCTAGTGACTTCAGAGGTGTTGAAAATGTGTCAGTAGCCTCACCATGGAGCTGCCTTTGAAGTCCACAAACACGTTTCTGCAGCTCTATGTTCTCCTTTGTAACTTCAACGATGGTGGATGACGTCAAGGACCCATGAAGCTTGCAGGAAGCACTTGCCTTCTGTGCATAGCAGTGGTCATGGGAATGGGCAGCAGCTGGTGGTGAGGCTCCCTTTTTGCAGGAGCAAAGGATGGCTGTGGATGTTGGAAGGGCCCCCTTTTTAAGCCTGAATGGGCTGCTCCATTGGTCACTCAAAAAGTGCAGCTAAAAATGTAACAAAACAAAAACAAAAACTGTGATATCACAGAATCCAATGCACATAATTGGGAGTTACCAATGGTTCAATATTTACCTCACAGACACGGGCCTCTCCATAGGGGGTCCAGTCAGGGCGACCCAGAATGGTTAACCAACATTTCTTAAGCTCTTCGTCTTTCGGGTAACGCACCATTCTGAGTTTGAATGAGGTTCTCTTATTAAGCCTGCTTGTGCAGCCAGGAACAGTGCACCCCGCCCCGGGCATGATTACTCACTGCCGTATACTTTATTTTAAAATTTAAACAATCATGATATGTACTGAATCGGAAATAATTTACTTTAAGTCCCGAATGGCCGGCGTCCTATCAACAAGTTCCAACCTGCCCCCAGCGAGCACGCGCGAAAACAATCCGACCGACTTTCTTTTCATACTGTAGTCTCGCACAGGTGCCCAACTCCCCAGCGACCACCAAAGCTCGGGCTTGCGCATCTCTTACAGGAGGGTCGCTAGCTCGGCTGCAGCTCGTGCTCGGGTCGCCGGCAAAAGGAGATTCAGAAAAAGGAAATGTATGTGTGTGTGTGTGTGCATGTACAGCGTGTACTTACACACAGGAAGCGGCACAGTGTGCGCCAAAGGAGGGCACAACTCATTTTTGCCAAGGCAAAAACCCGTGCACCGCTGCATCGGGTGACCCGAGGGGGGGGGGGGGGGGGGGGGGGGAAACCAGCAAAACCCGAAACACTGTACAGTAGCGCAAAAGGCGCAAGGGCATGACAAGGCGACGGTGGCGGAAAACTCAGAAACTAAACGCAGAGGCGCGCCACGCCGCGCTACTCCGCGCCACGCTACGCACATCTCACACACACGAGTGAGCGGCGTGGTGGGGGTAGAGGTGGCCGACACAGACAAAGGAAGAATGGTATCGTCTGCCAGCATGCAGGCCCTGGCGTGGCTACGGGGCCCCACACCTGCCAGCCGGCATCTGGCCGGGTTCGGGCCGCCGGAGGGGGGGGGGAGGGGGAGGGGGTCGAGCCACGCGACCGGGCGCGCCGAGCGCCCCACCCCAATTTAAAACGCCCCTGGACCAGTCGGTTTGGCGTGCGGCGCAAAAGCCACGCACGGCCGGCTTGGCGTAGGCCAGGGCTGGCGCGGCCTGGCGCTTCCTGGCGTCCCCAACTCCAGGCGCGTTTTCAGCTCCAGAGCCGCGAAGCAGGACTCGCACCGAACGTGCGGCCCCACCCCCGCCAATGCATTGCTCTCCGAACGAGGAATCCATTGGTGGGGCCACACGTTCGGCTCGAGTCCTGCTTACCGACTCTGGAGCTCGAAACGCGTCTTGGCCGCCCCCGCCGGCCTTCTGGCCCACTGCGCCTTGACAACCGCGGACACTCACCCCGCTCTCCTGGCCGCTGAGGTACTTGAAGTGCTGCTGGAACACGGGGCCGGGCGGGCCCTGCGGCCCCGGCGGCACGAGTCCCGGCGAGGGCCCGGCCGGCGGTGGCGCGCCGGGCTCGCCCTTGACGACGATGCGGTGGTGGATGGGCGACAGCAGGTTGGTGGAGATGAAGTCGGGCGGGTTGCTGTCCGGCCGGGACGGCGGCAGGGACGGCGGCCCCAGCTCCTGGATGTGGTACTGCTGCATGGCAGGCTGCATGGCGGACAGCCCGGGGTTCTCCCACGTCGGCATCCTGGGCGCGGCGGCCGTCGCGGAGGCCGTCAAGACTCGAGCCGCTTCCTCATCCTGGGGCTCTTCGTCGACGGGGTCCTGGCGGTCCTGGAGTTCGCGCGGCGCCTACAAGGTGACGTCGGTCAGCACGAGCGCGACCAGCGTCCAGCGGCGACGCATGCGGGGGAGCCAGTTTCGATCGCGCAAGGCGCGGCCCAAATTCTCGTCCAAATCACTCAATTCGAACACCGGGGCCTGGAGCGTGTGCCCCGGCGGGCAGGTAAAGGGTCCGCACCGCCCTCAGCCTCAGCCCTCCACCCCCACTCCACATGTGGTGCGGACCCCGGAAAGGGATTTCATGGCTGGGGCCCCAGGTCAGAGAGAGAGAGAACAAAGACGGAAAGACGATAAACAGAGAGAGAGAGAGAGATCGGCAGACGGGGGAGGGGAAGGGGGACGTCACCGGAGAGGAAGGCGTTAGGACCCCTCCGAGACGGCAAGACTACAACAACCGGCATGCAGGACCTATAAAACCGCCCCCTGCGCCAGTGCCTACGACATAAACGTCTAGCACACGGCAAAAAAAAGAAAAAAAATCCGGTGTATTGACTGGCACTCTTGTGGCGTACTAAAACGCTCGGAAAGGAGCAAAATTCTGACGAAATTTTATTCTTGCACAGTGTAGGCACTCGCAGCGTACACAACTACGTACGACGCACACACCTGTTAGGGTTTGTTCAAACCGCAACCAAAAAAATGTAAAACCGGAAAAAAGCACCGAAAAAAAAAAACCTAAATGAAACGAAACGCATTAAACGCATCCGGGTGACGTCATCCGGAGGTTCGACCTACTCCGGCCGCATGCCCCTTATCCGAGCGCGTCCGTTTTAATCTATTGCCTTCCATTTCCAGCCCGAAACAATACACTAACACAACTAAACCGACCCGCCCGCCCGCGCTCTCTCCGAATCTGACTGTGCGAATATCATCCCCCCCTTCTCCGGGGCCCCTGAGGGGGTCGCTGGCACTAAGCCGACTACTACTACAGAGCCCCACGGCGTCGCGCCCCTCGCTGGAACGCCCCCGCCCCGCCCCCGCCACGCTCAGATTCGGAGGGGAGGGGTGGGGTGGCGGCGGAAGCGGGCGAGGAAGGGCCCAGTGCACGATAATCGGTGTAACATCTGGCGCCCGCCGCCCCCACCCCACCCCACCGCCGGAGTCAAGTTGAACACACTTGGAAAACAGGCGGGGTTTTCGTCGCGACAAAATTTCCAACTTTGGAAACCGAGCGGGCCGGGGAGGGGGAGAGAGAGAGAGAGAGAGAGAGAGAGAGAGAGAGAGAGAGAGAGAGAGAGAGAGAGAGAGAGAGAGAGAGAGAGAGAGAGAAGACCCGGCGCCGCCGGAGTGGTTTCGGCACCGCGAAAAATGAAGGGTCGTTTTGCAGTGGCGTGGGCGGTGGGCGCACCCTTGGGGTTTACTGCGGGTAGACTTCCCGTCCTCTCATTCAGATTGCCGAGAAAAAGGCGTCGACTCCCACGGCCTGTCTGTTTGCGGTGCAGGCACAGTGTAGGCACTGTGCAGGCAGGCCCAATCATAAACAGCCCCAACTGCTTTATGACACTTGTTACCGGAAGGACCACAGCGGCGAGCGAGTGCGCTCTGCTCACCTGAGCACGGGAAGAGCCACAGACTGACTCATCCCAAACTTGGGGCGAGCTCCACAGTCGCTAAATGGGTCTCGAACCGAACGTGTGACCCCACCAATGGATTCCTCGTTCGGAGAGCCATCCATTGGTGGGGTCACACGTTCGGTTCGAGCCCCATTTAGCGACTCTGGAGCTCAAAACGCGTCCAGAGTTTTGGCCGCCGGCACCGGTCGGACCATTGGACGCGGCCGAGGTGCGCTCCGCCACCGGAAGTGCCCCTACGGTGTGTCGACGGTGCCGACGGCCACCCCTCGCTCAGGGCGACCAAGCCGGTCCGGGCAACGCGACATCAAAATGCACGTTGGCTCCGCCGAGATCAGGTCGACGACCACGCCAGCAAATTCAAATAGGGGTTTATTAGTCAGCGGCAGGGAGGCCCAGTGACCGACCAGCAACAACAAGCCAGCGCCGTCTCTCTCGCACGCCGACGGGACGGCCCACGAGTGCGAGAGAGACAGAGCGGCTGCTACTACGCCCGCCACCGTGTCCGCCACCCACCAAGTCAGCCCAGTCAGCCCCGGCGGCCTGTAAGGGCCATAAAAGCGGCAGCCAGGGCGCCGTGGACGTGGCGCCCTCAAGGTCGGCCAACTAGAGCAGCCTTCCGGTGTGTGTGTGTGTGTGTGTGTACAATGTACTACCAGGTTGGCCCTACGTTGAACACCCCAGCCAGCAAAACACTCACTGCACCCAGTGAAGGGAACTGTCGACCAAGAAACGCGCCACCCGGACACCGGGAGGTACTCCCCGTTTTAACGCCCCCCCCCCCCTCCACCCCCTGTTCCACTGTGACAGGTAGGCAACCCCACCACTAGATAGCGCTGCGGGCAGGTACCTGAGGGGAAGTCTCTCAGCTACATCGCGGCCAGCTACATCGCAGCCAGCTACATCGCGGCCAGCAACCGGCGTCCTCAACGACGCCGTCCGGGACTTGAACCGGGAGCTAGTCCGCCTCTCAGGGCCCGGCTGCCCCCGGCTGGCCGTCAGCCCCACAAGGAAGCAAAAGAGTTCACTCCAAACTGACGGGCGTCTGGTTAGCGTCGCGGCGCCTCTAATGTCCACTTAACGGGGGGGGGGGGGGGGAATAGCAGAAGAAATGGAGAAAGAAAGAGAGAGAGAGAGAGACAAAGACACAACAGCGACCACTTGAATACAACGCATTGAAACGAGTCGAAAATGGCGAAACTGGCTCCTCCCGATGGGTGCGACGCTAGATGCACCAGTTGGACCTGTTGTCGCGTGACGGGCGTGACTTACGGCGATCCTTTTCTTGCGCACGCAACACACACGCACACACACAGGGTGGCACTTGGAAGACGACGAAGACGAAGAGGTTATCCTATGGCAATCCGACGACACAGGCGGCCTATCAAAGGCGTTCACTTGCACACAGTGTGCCACACACTTGACGGGGTGCCGCGGAGCCGAAACGCAGCGCTACGCGAGCGAGTCGCGGCGCGGTCTTCGCAGGCTGGGCGGCTGCAGCGACGGACGCGACGACGGCAACCTGCTCTCGCGCTGGAGCGAACCGCACTGGCTCGCCTTCGGCTTCGCTTCGGCTTTCTGCTCGGCGCTCGGCTCGGCCCGCTTCGGCTCCCCGCACAAAAAACGGCCGCAGCTTCATTTCCCGGCGAGCGGCGCGGCGCGCGCCAGGCGTGGCGGCGGTGGCGGCGCGGTCCCGAAGGCGCCCGAAGGCGACCCGAAGCCGCGCCGACGGCCGGCGGAAACGCCCGAAGGCGGCGGCGCCGCGCAGAACGCGCGGCGGCAGGCGGGAGCCGGTCGCGGCCGAGCCGAGCGCAGGACCGGCCGAGCCCGGTCGAGCCAGGCCCCGCGGCCGAGCCGAGCCGGAGCAGGGCAGGCAGGGCCGCGCGGGGCGGCGCAGGGCAGCCAGCCCTCGACGCGAAGGGTCGGCGTGGCGGCGCGGCAACCCTGCGAAAGGACGCGAGCCTAGCGCATCGCCGCCGCCGCGCCGCGCCGCGCCATGCACCAGGCGACGCACTGGCCGCAATATCAAACGGTCGTGTGTATCAAACAAACTGGGCCGGAAAGAGGTTGCTGCCAAAATGTCTCGCATGTCGTGTGCGAATGTGTCGCGAGTGCCGTCCCCCCG